ATAGAAAAAAAAAAAAAAAGAAATAGCCACTTAGGGAAAAATTATTTAAAATGACATAATAAGTCAAACTCTTGGTTGGGTATCACCAACACCATTAAACTTTTCAACACCCTTGAAAAAATCAACAACATCAAGGTGTGTATCAATATCTACATTATTATGCTCAATGAAATTCATTTCTGGATCTTTTTCTTTTCCCTTTTCATTAAGTGAGGCTTGGTAAAAATCAACCAAATACCTAGCAGTGCGACAAGCACACTCCCAATGTCCTTTCACTCCACATCGATAACAAAAATTTTCAAAAACTTTTGCAGGGTTCTTTTGTAAATTTCTACCTCTTACATCATTTTGTTCAACCAATTCATATTTAGGGTTGAAGCCACTGCGATGCTAAGTATTATTTCGACCACGAGCATGCCTTCGGCCACAGTTATTGCCACGATTACAACCACGGCAACAGTCACAACCATGCCCATTATTATTATATGAGGTTGCATGTGCCTCAAGTAATGAGGCTGAACCCAGTAGATTGTGACTGATGATTTTTCATCAAAAGTTCATTATTTTGTTTAACAACAAGAAGACATAATATCAAATCTGAATATTGTTTAAAGTCTCGCTCTTGATATTGTTGCTGAAAAAGCAAATTCGAGACATGAAAAGTGGAGAATGTTTTCTCCAACATGTCTTCATCAGTAATTTTTTCACCGCATAATTTTAATTGAGATGAAATGTGGAATACTGTGGAGTTATACTCACTCACAGATTCAAAATCTTGTGATTGCTGATGCATCCATTCATAACGAGCTTTTGACAATATCATTGATTTTTGGTGATCATATATTTCTTTTAAATTTTGCCATAATTCAAATGAATCTTTGATTGTCAAATATTCAGCCCTTAACCCTATGGAGATGATGGCAAAGGAATATTAGCGCTTTAGCATGATCTTGTAAGGAGCTTGATTTCCCTCAACAATTGTTTCACTAAAATTATTTGCAGCCAAATGGATTTCAGCATTAAGTATCCATGGCAAATAATTTTAGCCCATTATATCAAAGGCGGCAAATTCAAGTTTTGACAAATTTGACATTGTGGTTGTAAAAATTCATTAGATATTAAAATCAAATTGAAATTAGAAAACAAAGGATTACCTTAAGACCTTACCACAAATTGAATGGTAAAGACGATCGTGCTAATAACATATTATAAAATAAGAGGTAGAGTAGCAAGATGACAAATAAAAGAGAGAGTTTCTTATTTCTCCATGTATTCACTACAAGCAAAATGCCATATACCAACGGAACTTTATACCAACGGATAAAAGATCCGTCTGTATAAATTATATATACCAACGGAAAACTTCAGCCGTTAGTATACATAGGTCTATACCAACGAAAAAATACATCCGTTTATATAGACTTGGTTTATACAGACGATTTAGTGATTATCTGTTTGTATACAATATATCTATACCAACGGTAATTATTATATGCCTGTATAAATATATTTATACAAACGATTAATGTTCTGTCGGTATAAGCCCCTGTTCCTTTAACACTTAATTTTTTCTTTCTAATTTCAGCCTGCCCTACTTTCCCCTACCATTGAGCACCCCCAATTTCCCTCCCGTATTTCCGAGCTTCCCTCCCCAATTTATGACCTTCCCTCCCAGCAAATCTACAAAATTTTTAATTGATTTTGCTAAAACTCAAAACCCATTCGAACCCAGCTGCAAAATTCGTTTCCTCCACTCTAATCCATCAACGATAGAGGATTGCTCTTGCTCGCAGCCGACCGCAAGCCTGCTTGCTCTCTCCTGTTCGTCATCCATGGTACCGTCGCCTCTCTCTCTCTGTTTCTATAAGATTCCACTAGGCTGTGCATGCTCATCTTTGCTATTACTGGTTTCATTTTTGCTATTACTAGTTTCATTGTTGTTTTCCGATTGTTTGGTTTCATTCTGGTTTCAAGTTCCGATCGCATCGCCGAAATCTTCCAAAAAACTCTCTGCCTGAAATCACCGATTCTTCTACATTCCCGAAACAAATAGAGTAACTCAAAAGAATATTTGTAAGATATGATTATGGGCCAGGAAGAAGCCGACCGGAGAATATTGCCGTCAAAGGAGGAAGAGAGGAGTTCCGCTTGACCATTTTCCATGCAATCTTAGCTCTCACTTTATGGCTTGGACCCATCTATTTCAACGCCTTCTTAGTCCTTATCTCGCTGCTCTTCCTCCCCCTTTCCAAGTCCCTTATGTTCATTCGCTCTCTCTCTCTCTATCTCTCTCACTTTCTCTGTTTCCTTCTTTTCTAGTTCGGTAGAAAAAACAAAGTCTTCTCCTTTTCTCCTGTATTTATTCTGGGTCAAAACCCCTTTTTCAGAATTTTTTTCAGGGTGATTGGATTGCTTTTGGTTTTCATGCTCATTCCTATCTACCCTTACAATAAATATGACAAGCAATTGGCCAAGTACTGTTATGTGTCTGTTGTTTTCCTTTTTAATGGTGAAGTGAATGAATTTCCTTAGTCATTTCTTGAAATGAATTCTTGGACAGCTCTCCATTGGAAGAATTTCTAATTTTAGTTCAAAGTTTTATTTTTGGACTTCTCCATTTGCTGGATTTCTAATATTTCGTATTGGTGATTTTGGCTTTGATTTTCTGTATTTTTCTTTTCATTATTATTTATATGATTTTTTTAATTCTTGCCATTAGATATTCATTAAATCCAAAGAATTGTGTTGTATTTATATATTGGGAATTGAGTGTAATATGTAGTTTGACAGAGTTTTATGTTATATTTAGCTTATTGGATTCTTTTCTATTTAATTTTTCATAAAAATTTTAGGATAATAAGTTATGGAAAGAGTATTAACTTGTTTTACAAAATTCTACGCATATTTCCTTTAATGAAACAATGCCATTCCATGTATTAGAAGTTCACAAGATCAAGCTGCTAACAGCAGGTGGAAAGAAATTGAAGCTCACAATTTGGGAAATAGGTGCGTAGAGATGGAGTTGGTGCTTGGTGGGGACTCTAGGAGGACTTGCAATCCTTGTGTGGATGAGGTGGAGTGGTGGAGCATGGAGCTGCTGCTCCATTGGCTGCTGTGGCAGTTTGAGAATTGTTTGCCTCTACCGGTTTGACTTTGAAATACACCTTCAGCTACCAGTTGATGAAAACTAAACAGTTGTCAGGTAAAATGGACCATAAATTTCCAGAACTAGTGTCATTAATGCTTGAATCTGATTGTAGTTTTTGTGGATTTTAGAGTTTCTTGATATATATATATATATATGCAATTTAGATTGATCTTAAATTTGTGTTTTGTTTGGTCTAGGGGCGGATTTTAAGATCAAGCTGCTAACAGTAGGTGGGAAGAAATTAAAGCTCACAATTTGGGATACAGGTGCGTAGAGATGAAGTTTGTGCTTGCTTATGATCTTTTATGCTTTTCATTCCAAATTTGTCATTTTATAGTTCCAATTTGTCTCAGTAGCCTATTACTTCATGTGTGGTCCTTGGTGCAAAACTTTTGAAAGACGCAAGAGGGGGAAATACGTCTAGTATGAAAAGTTGAATCGTTTTATTGGAGTCAATCATCCGTTTACTTTAGATTTTTCAAATTGTGAAAGGAGCATGCTTCTCCGACCTGTTTTTACCTTTGGCCTTTTCGGTAATAGTCTTAGTTCCAAAATTTTTTGTTGGCATGGGAATAAGTGATGTCTGAAATCATATTGCTTCTTGCAGCTAGACAGGAAAGGTTCAAGACATTAACAATCTCTTACTATGGAGGTGCCCAAGGGATCATTCTTGTCAAGATCAAGATCAAGCTTTTGGACAATTTTACATTGATACGGGATTATTGTGAAGTATTAGAAGTTTTACATTGCTTTTCATTGGAAATTCGTTTAGATCTGGTATTTCTGTTTTGTTTGTTGATAATATGATCTACAAATTTGGAGATTAAGCTTGCTTTGGTGGATTTTTGAAGAGTTTTTGTTTCATCTTTCAGATCTGTTACTGAGATGATTTCTGGGAATTTTAGTATAATTTATGCTTAATTCAGTAGGTATTTAATTAAAATAAGAGGCAAAAATACTATGTAAAAATATAAATATTTTTTAGAATATACAGCTAGAAATATATGTGTATTGGTATCTCTGATTTTCTTTTATCTTTGTACTTTTTCAATCTTTGGAAACTTTCTCAGTAATTATTGGATGATTGAAGTATGGTTTTATGGTAGAGAAAACCTTGACATCTCCAACAAGGTTTAATAATTGCTTTATTGTTGTTGAGTTTAATTAAGCAGACTTTTTCATTGATAAACTTAGATATTAAATTATAGATTCAAACCTATAATTTAGATATTAAATTATATAAATTTAGATATCAAAATATCTTTGTTTTTTTTCATGCTGCATATGGTTGTGGCTGTTGGGCTAGAATGTTTTCTCATATTTAGGGGAATTAAAGGGCTAATTAAAGCACCAGCATCAGTAAAACAGATGGAGAAAATGATACTTAAATATTTGCTGCCACAAGTTGAAGTTGCATCGCTCTTGAGCATATCTCTTGCATTTGCCTAGGAAAAGGCAGTGAGGCAATGGCCTCATTTCATGATTCATTTCATACTGTGGAGCTCCTTTGTCATGTGTTTGTCGATTGGAATTCTTCTGGTTTGCTTCCAGAGACCTACCACAGATGGTGTTGGGGTTTGCCTCATTGCCTTTGCAATTGGTAATGGCTTGTATGCTTGTTGGGTTAGTCCAAGAATTAAGTTGTGTACCTAGGTTTTGATCAAAGTAATGGAACCTACTTCCAAATTTACAGATTTAAACCACCCCACTTATGTGATGCTTGGGGCTGGATTCATATGGATGTCTATGTGGATTTTGGTTGTGATTGGAACCTTTAATTTCCCCCTTTCAACCATTGATTATAATTGTATTGTTCTTGAGCTTGGCTTGGACGGTTGAAGTCTTGAGAAATGTTACCAATTTAACAGTTAGCACTTAGCAGAGTAATTTCTTTGTATTACCTCAGAGGAATGCAGTGCATTACTAACTTCTGCTTCCAAAGAGCCTTATCCCTGAGCCTTGGAAGTGCTTGTCTTGGATCCTTATTCGTTCCAACAATAGAAGCACTGAGAATTGTAGCAAGAGGTTTGAAATTGTAAAATAAATTTAGATATTAAATTAGATGTTATTCCATAAATTTAAGTGTTCAAAAAAAATTTTCATATAACAAAACAGAGAACACAAGCAGCATAAAAGGATATATAAAAAGATATTGATATAAAAGGTAAAGATATAAATAATTTTCTATACAATTTTTATGTATTATTAAATTAATAATTACACTCAATATAACAAAATTTAAATAAATAAATTATCTAAATAAAATATAATTATACAAAAATATTATCTCATATATTTTTCACAAAAAAAATATACAAAAGCTTCTAAATTATTAAACTGCATGATTAGCATGTAAGCACACGGATTGTTGACGTGGCCAAAAAAATTTTGAAATCCCGCCCAAGTGCAGACTCCATTTTGTCCATTTATTTTCCCCCTTTGCTTATTTCAAGATCCACACCACACCAAATCGAATTGCCTATTTGTCCATTTATCTTTCTCGCTCGCTCGCTCACGTCTCCTTGTCTTCCAAAAACCTTAACTCTCAGGTAACTTGCTGTAGCGACCTAGTCATGTTTGCACTGTTTTGACCGATCTTTAAACGATTCTCATTGATTTTGACTGTTTTTCGTGCAGGATTAAGGTGCTAGATCAAAGGCTAATTCGAAGAAAACTAATAGTAAGTGAATTTTATTCCTTATTTTGCTTTGTTGTAATTTCTGAGTTAATATTTTTTTTTGATATCATAGTGATTGCGATTGCGTTCTAAGACCGTCGTAGATTTAAGTGTTAGCTTCTTCTGTTAATCGATGTGTTTTTTTTTTTTTTTTTGGAAAATTTTTTCGTTAAGCTGAAGAGGGCAACGGCTGGAAAAGAAACTGCAAAGGATCTAGAGAAGCTGAAGAGGTAACATTGTAGGAGACTCATAATCTTTTGATTTTTTTTTGATTTTTTTTATTTTACTTAAATTTGTTTTGATTCAATTACTTTCGAATTTTTCCAATTTTACTTAAATTTGTTTTGAAGTGGGGTTTGATTTGGT